TCCACCAATTGGGCCCATGAGGCCCAATAGCCTCCGGGGGGTTCCAGTAATCCCCCGGTACTCCGGTATATATCCGATAACCCCCGGAACCATTCCGGTGTCCGAATATAGTCATCCAATATATCAATCTTCATGTCTCGACCATTTCGAGACTCCTCGTCATGTTCGTGATCACATCCGGGACTCCGAACAACCTTCGGTACATCGAAACTCATAAACTCATAATATAACTGTCATCGAAACTTTAAGCGTGCGGACCCTACGGGTTCGAGAACTATGTAGACATGACCGAGACACGTCTCCGGTCAATAACCAATAGCGGAACCTGGATGCTCATATTGGCTCCTACATATTCTACGAAGATCTTTATCGGTCAGACTGCATAACAACATGCGTTGTTCCCTTTGTCATCGGTATGTTACTTGCCTGAGATTCGATCGTCGGTATCTCGATACCTAGTTCAATCTTGTTACTGGCAAGTCTCTTTACTCATTCCGTTATACATCATCCCGCAACTAACTCATTAGTTGTAATGCTTGCAATGCTTAAGTGATGTACATTACCGAGTGTTCCCAGAGATACCTCTCCGACAATCGGAGTGACAAATCCTAATCTCGAAATTAGCCAACCCAACAAGTACCTTCGGAGACACCTGTAGAGCACCTTTATAATCACCCAGTTACGTTGTGACGTTTGGTAGCACACAAAGTGTTCCTCCGGTAAACGGGAGTTGCATAATCTCATAGTCATAGAACATGTATAAGTCATGAAGAAAGCAATAGCAACATAACAAACGATCGAGTGCTAAGCTAACGGAATGGGTCAAGTCAATCACATCATTCTCCTAATGATGTGATCCCGTTAATCAAATGACAACTCATGTCTATGGCTAGGAAACATAACCATCTTTGATCAACGAGCTAGTCAAGTAGAGGCATACAAGTGACACTCTGTTTGTCTATGTATTCACACAAGTATTACGTTTCCGGTTAATACAATTCTAGCATGAATAATAAACATTTATCATGAAATAAGGAAAATAATAATAACTTTATTATTGCCTTTAGGGCATATTTCCTTCAAAACAACTCCCCTATCAAGCTTCTCCTTGATGAAGTGACGATCAATCTCTATGTGCTTGGTTCGATCATGCTGAACAGGGCTATTAGCAATGTCAATAGCAGCTTTGTTGTCACAGTATAGCATCAGACGCTTGTACCTGTTGAATATGTCAATGTAATTGTGGAGCGGACGTACGGCTGTTGGGTTCTCCACTCGGCCTGCCCACTATATATAGTCTCAAGAATCATTTATGCGTGCGATCTTTGACCCTGCCAAGCAAGTTAAGTCAGGGGAGAAATGGGTCATGGCAGCAGCGGCGATGGTGGCGGCGGAGGAGATGGAGCTCTGCCCGTGGTGCCCGTGGAAGTCAAGCCGCAGCCGCAGCCGCAGCGACAACCCGCCCTCGACGTGCCGCCCTTCCTCATCTTCGAAAAGTGCAGGGCACCGGAGCTCTTGGACTGACATGCCTGCCACCTACCCCTCAAACCGCCTATCTTCGCGGTACACTACTGATTATCAACTTGAATCTTAGATCGAGTAGCTTATTTACAGATCGATTAGAGCCATGGTGATTATTACTCCTTGCCATGGAAACGACTGCTGGTCTTGATCCTGAGTACATTATAATTCGCAGTGCGACGACGGGCATCTGATGTGCTCACTCTGCCACGGCGCGCACGGCGAGGACTGCGGCCACGTCGCCGCACACTGCCGCCTGGCAGACGCCTACGCCGGCGCCGTCAAGCTGCCGTGCGACTACGTCAAGTTCGGCTGCGAGGCGGGTCTCGTCGTCTACCACGACTCCGTGGACCACCGCCGCGCGTGCCAGCACGCGCCCTGCTGCTGCCCTGAGCGCGACGGGCCCTTGGGCGGCGGCGGCTGTGACTTCACCGGCTCCCGGCCCGGGAGATGCTCCTCGACCACATCACCACGAAGCACTCCCGCCAGGTCATCCTCATGCGCTACGGCCAGACAGGGAGGCTCAGCCTGCCACTGGCCCGGCGGTTGCAGGTCCTCGTCGACCAGGACGACATGGCCAACAGGCATCGGAGCGTGTTCCTCGTGGTCTTGGCCGAGCGCGACAAGGACGCCGCGGTGTCGCTGGTGTGCGTCAGGGCGGACGGTGACGCACCGGGCGCGCCGCAGTTCTCTTACAAGCTCGCCGTGGAGCACACCGGCAGTGGCGCGAGGGTGACGTTCGAGTTGCCGGTCATGAAAAGCAGCTCCCTGCCCGCTGGCACGCCATGGCCGGACGAGTTTACCTTCCTGTCGGTGCCTAGAGCGTATCTGTCAGGCGACATTGTCCCCCTCACCATCCACATTGACAAACTCGTTCCTCCTCCTCCCCCTCCTGCCGCCGCCCCTACTAGTCCTCCTCTTCCTCCTCCTCCTCCTCTTCCTCCTGCTGCCTCGGCTACCACCGCCGTCAAGTCTGCGCCGACTGATCAAGGCAGCAAGAAAAGAAAATCTACCAATCCGAAGAAACTCTAGTCAAACGACATGCATGACCGACTAGTCCGTCATGGCAACTAGCTAGCTACATTGGCATGGGAAATACGTCGTTTTTATATCTAAGTTTGGTTTTTGTTAGTCTCAAATAAGGCTACTACTTCATGTGCTCCCTTTGCTATTGCGTGGTGCACATCCTGGCGTTACTGGTTCTGTTATGAACTTGAGTGCAACATATGCATGAAATCACTATTTTGGTGGGCCACTAAAATTTTGGCACTTGATGAATAATATCAGTACAAAAACTCAGGCTTGTAAAATGCCACTACAATACACATGCACTCTCGGTCTCTCACCTGCCATTATCCATCTTTTAGATCAATCTTAGAAAGAGTTTTTTTTCTAAAGCATACTAGTTTTCATAGACTGAAATATCATACATTACCACGGTTTTAAACAGGGCCGTCTCCAGAAATTCGAGGCCCCGGGCGAAAACCAGAATGTGGCCCAAAATTTTAAATAGTTCACATAACAGAAGAATTATTTTGCGTAAAGCATACTCTCACTTTATTATATAATTGCAAGTTTGTTTTATCTGTACCTTATTTAGACATATATTAACAGTAATGCTAAAAAGATAAAAGGGATTGCAAAGCAATGAACGGACCTCATGTTCTACCAAAAAGGAGCATTCGTGATTTTCAGAATTTTGTTGGCGGGATTTCACCGAATATCTATCAAGGTAATCTGTTAGAGATTGAGCCTTAACTTCGAGTCTTTGTTTCTTCTTACACTTTGCAGTACCAGATTCATGCTTTCCTAATTCTAGTAGACATGATGAAGATTCAGAAACAATACCTAACAAATTATAAATTATAAGTGATCATTGATCAAATAGAATCTAATTAGTTTCTAACAGTAACAATCAGTAGATGAATAGATCATTCATATACAAAGAAAATGAACTGAAAATGGAACCTTGCACTTGGAGATTAAAACACAGTCCGTAGGGCCTGGATGTGTTCCTCAATTCTAATTGACGCGACGAACGGAACCGCGGTCCAGAGCTGTTGTGTCTTCATGCAGCAAGACGATCAACAATAGGAATAGATCGGACATAACTGCATTGGCGCCGGCACGACTGCTAGCGCCTTCGTCAATCCCGGATCGCCGCTCGCGAGACCTAGACGGCAGTTCCCCCTGCCTGTTCGTCTGCAAAGCGATCTTGTATTCTTCAGATCCTGCTATTGGGCCTCCAACCTTCTTTTCTGTAAGTCCGTTATTTGGGCCTCTAGCACCAGCAGTCCAGACTCCCGTATGCATCAAAGACAGCACGTAGTCACGTATACACGTACGTTAGTTTTCTTTTCTTGTTTTTTAGCGATGGTACGAAGGGATTTTTCTCTCGATGGGGCCCCTCGATTTTGGGGGCCCTGTGCGGTCGCTCAGCTCGCTCCCCCTCATCGACGGGCCTGGTTTTAAATATACCGTTCGCCCAAACTAACCCTAATGTTTTAGATTACTACGGTTTTGAAAATATTCTGCTAAACTAAGCCTAGTTAATTTTTCCATGCCACTCGCTCGGGTTGCATTCATTTATTTCAACAGATCTACTAATTCGATAAGTTGAATCTCAATCAATTTATGTGATAATGTGAACTCTTATTTCGCCGGTTAGAAGCCATTTTGATCGTTCTAACATACAAAACAACACATATGCATGTTATAGGCTAAAAATAACGGTTGTTTGACATAGATAGCAAGTTGAGGAGGCTGTCAGACAAAGATGACATAGGCCTCTCTCAAGCTCGGGAAAAGAGAGTTAAACATTGGAATTTCTGCTCTTGGTGAGTTATAAATGGGGAGAGAAGTGAGGCCACTTGATCTAAAAATTTATCAAGCCGCTTTCCGCCAAACGACACAACACGGATTAGTTAGAGGGACATGTAGACTCCCGTAGACCTATACGCTCACAAGTTATAACCATCTGATTTTAGACGAAGATTCGCCATCTCAAAAAACAAATAAAAAATCTCAAAAAAAATTACAAGAACAACCACGCAAAATTTATGACGTTGATTGTGGTTTAACTATGTCTCAATCAATTGAGAATTAGCAAATCTGCTAAAACTACTACCGGACTATATATAAGGGTCGGTTTGAGATCCACCAAGCAATGATCACACTACCATGTTTTTTCTTTCTGATCTTACGCAACTGTGCAAGAGAAGTATTTACAGAAAGGGTGTGGTTAGGTCTTAATCGACTGAGACTTAACCAAGTCTAAGTCAAGTGCTATGGTATGTAAGAAGAAAAAAGAAAAATTGAAAATAATTTTTTGCACGAATCTCCATGCAAAATCAAAGCAAAATACTATCGACTGAGACATAACGAAGTCTAAGTCGACTATGACTTAGCAAAACTATTACAGAAACCATCAAATCAAGAAGATGCTCGCGCTTCTCCGTCCGGACGGCCAACTCCGATCGTCAGAAGCAGCTCGGCGGTCTGACCTCTCCGGACGTGGACCCGCCGGCATTTCCGCACTTGGCCTGCGCCGGCCGCTTGTGCTTGTACGTCAGCCTAATGTTCGTGAGCTTGATCCCGCTGCAGGGGTTGGTGCTGCTGCAGTTGAACTTCACTGCAACGGGCGTCGCCGATGTGCCCTCGATGTCCGTGTATGATATGTTGCTGATCTGCACCCCCGAGCTCTGCATGCACACACAACAACAGAGCTCATGATACAGTCGACGGATGGATTGACGTGTAGGGAACTTGAATGGTGGCATCTCTTACGTACATTGCCTGGGCAGTCGACCTTGCGGGGGCAGTAGTTCTGGTCGACGAGGATGGGGTTGGCCACGCGGTTCATGGTGATCCGTGAGAAGGAGACGTTTGTGACGGAGCCGGAGTTGGGCATCGCCCACGTCTTGATCCGCAGGCCGTTGGTCGTGCCCGTGAGCACCGCCCTGTCCACCGTCACGTTCCTCACCCCCTCCTCACCGTCCTGCCATCCCAGGCTCCCGATGCTGCGATCGTGCATACAATGAATACACGAAACCAATGCTATTACGTTGTGCAAACCACAAGCAAACACAATAATGGATGATGAACTAGCAACTGAAGGTGTCACCTGATGCCGTGGCCCGGACCGCACTCGATGTCCCTTATGAGCACGTTGGAGGTGCCGGGCCCTAAGGAGACGCAATCGTCCCCGGTGCCGATGGTGGTATTGAGGATGCTCACGTGGCGGGAGTGGCTGACGTGGATGCCATCGGTGTTGGGGCTGTTGGCCGGCGCGATGATCTGGATGCCTTGGACCGTCACGCCGGTGCAGTCGAAGATGGCCATGTGGAATACCTTGCTGTTGAGCAGCGTCAGCTGCTTCACACTCACGCCCTTGGACTGGCTAATGTCGAGCGTCTGCAATTGTATGTACGTATGGCCAACGCCCGTCACAAGGAAATTGAACCCAACTGCATTGCAAAAAAA